ATTGTCTTCTGACCAAACCTTCTTAATACTAATTCTTTCTTTACTATTTTCTAATCTCTTTTCTTTTAACCTTCTTTTACAAATTGCAGTGTTTCATATTCTTATGATTTCATGATGTTGGTATTCAGATGAATATTATTCAAAATCAGACAAGTTATTAATATCTCAACCATCAATTACTTATCAAAATGGAAGTGCTACTTCAACTTCAAACTTCATATCTAATTTTACTTTTATATACCTGAGTTCTGATTTTTCTTTTAATATATCAAAAATACTTAACAATCATTGTATATATGGAGTTATGAATAGTCTCTGTAAAAAAGCTATGGCTATTAGATTTGATACTAGCTCTGCAGCAATAGAATCACTTAATACGTTTCTAGAGAATTTTATTCAACAATATTCTGTAAATTCTAATCAACACTTGGTCACTAATACTGCTTTAAGTAAAATTCAAGATAATGAATTAAGTGATTTAGATGATCAAAAAAATGTCCTACTATTTGATGTATCTACTATACAAGATCTAGTGATTAAAAAAAGAAAAAGAGCATCAAGAGTTAAGTGTATTAAAAGTTCTCTTGAAACAAAAAATATTCAATCAAATACTAAGAAAGAGAAAGCTAAATATTTTTGTTCTCGCTATAAGTAGCCTAATCATTATGTTAAAACTTGCACTGTAGATCTTTAGCATATATATAAGGTCAGTAAATATATATCGATATAGAGTTAAAATAGCTAATCGATAGTTAATTACATTAATAATTCAAGTATCATTTTACTAACTAATCAGTACTTAGCTTTAAAGTTCTTAGTTTTTGTGTTGTATACTATCGCTATATATTAACCAAATTTAGTTTCTTGTAACTAGGTTGAATTATCTATCATAGTATCTATTTAGATTCGAATATCAGGTTAAGAATTAAAGAAAAAAGTTTATTGAATTACTACATACATTATGTAATATGCAATAAAAGAACTGTGCTTATTCCATATATGCATACTATCTTGGCTTTGAATAATAAACATGCAATTTTACTAAAAAAGGAAGTTTAGTTTTTGCTTTGTAGTATGTACATTTGTACTAGTTAGAGATATTAAAGTGCTTATCCGAACTGTCTAAACTTACTCGACTTCAGAATTCGAATCAAACTTGAGTTTTTAATCATGTGAAGTTGTACAAATCAAGATAGATAACAATAAACTTAATTGCTGCATATATTGATATTGATATGCATATTGCTCTCAATTTGATAAATATTACTGAAGTCGACTTAGAGTCGGCTTTAAATAACTCAACTCTAATTGACTCGAAAACTGACTAAACTAAGCTATTTAATATCTCTAGTAAACTTGCTTTATTTGGAACCAGTTTTAATCGGTTTGACAATATGAGAAATAAAAACTAGTTTAATTTATATATTATATATAAATGTAAGACAAGCTATATAATTGATTACTAATATATTATATACAATTAATTACTTAATTATGATTACAATAACTGCAATTACAAATTTATTAATCTTATGTATATATACTATATATAATTAAAGAAATATTCTAATTTTTTTTTTTTTATTAAATAATATCATAGTTGAAACTTTATTTTTAAAAAAAAGGTAAAATATAAGTTCTATATTAAAGATTTCAAAACTATATTTATGTTATATAAATTTAACTTTTAGTTAAACAAGGCACCCAATGTAATATTACACCTCTTATTTCCTATATAAATACTATATTTAACTATTTCAAATTAAATTTTAGTTTAAGACAGGTTAGAGAAGACCTAAGGTATTAATTATAATATTATAAAGTTGAAGTTAATAGAGAAGAGTCTTGTAAGAACCATTTTTTAATTTCAAGTTCAAAGTTATTTGTTTGATTTGATATGATATTTGTATTTAGAATTGGTAGAGTTGTTAGATAGGAAAATTTAATATATTTGGTTTTAGAAGTAATATTTCAGGCTAGTTCCCATTTATGTTGATATTGAATTTGTAGAGACCAAATATCTTAATAAAACCAGTTTAGAAAATCATTTAATAAGTTGATTAGAAGTAGTTCTGTTTGTTTTTGAACTAAAGTTTTTATATTAGTAATTGTTGTAAATGTAAAGGTTCCAGAGATTGCAAAGAGAATGTAATTGTATTAGGGATTTGGAGAGTTTAAGGTAAAGTGTAAAAGAATATTTAAAAGGTTTGAAGCAGTAATTGTTGTAATTTTAAGTGAAGTTAGTGAATTGTTAATGATATTAATAAGTGATTGGTGAATATTAGGGTTATTTTTCTTGCAGACAAGAATGTGTAAGGTGTTTTCAATATTTAAGCATTGTGTACAATTTGATGTAGTATATAGATAAGGATAGCGAATATTAAGGTTTTGCATAGTAGATAAGTTATTTGTTAAGATTTTAATGCGAAAAGAGTATTTTAGGGTATTGTTTTTTAAAGAATTTAGGATTTTAAATATTAGAGTCCATTTGATATCAATAATACCATTAAAGAATTTGAGTGTAGACCAAGTAGAGAGTTCATATATTGTGATGATATTTTTAATAAAAGTTTGGATTTTTATTGGTATAAGAAAGTTATTCTAGTTGAAATATGTTGGATAGTTAAAGAAAAGAGATGAGAATTCAATTATTGGTTTAGTAGTACCTTGTTTTGCTAATAGATCAGCTTGGTTATGAAGAGAAATATTAGAATGAGATTTAACTTTGATAAGTTTAAGTGAGATATTTTTGTTTTCTTTGAGTGAATT